AGAGTTGCTGAACCAGAAAATGCAACAAAAATCTAATTGTAAATAGACATACATACGTGTCACATGAACATGACCAATGCAAGAAAAATAAATTTTGAAGTAGTCTGGTACATGTTATACGAGGAAGAATAGGCATTTATATTTCTTTATACTTCTGTGCAATCACATCTGAGAAATAATATATAAACAACCAGAAGGTCATGCCTATTATAAGAGAAGTATTTATATAAATATTGATAGGGAGCTTAGATATTGTCATAAGTTTATGACTAGCAAATTATCTAACTTATTTAGGGCAGTTAATCATCTGAAATATTTGATTCTTTCAGGCAGACTTTGCAACTTCTGCGGTAGATTTCTTGCATAGGGTTGGTCGAACTGCACAGGCTGGTCAATTTGGAGTTGTTACTATCCTCTATAATGACTCTAACTGAGACCTTGTTAATGCAATACGTGCAGCTGGGAAGCTGGGGCAGCCTGTGGTAATTGAAAAAACTTTCAGTTCCTGTTTAGTTGAATCGACAGTTCAACACTCAAAGTCATATGAAGGAGATAATACTAGTACACACACAAACACACATGTTTTCTCCTGATCTTGAATAAATGCATAAGACAGTGATTCTATGATTAGGAAGTCTTGTTATACAAATTAAATTCCTTATGCTTGTGTATGAGTTGCATTTTCTTGTGCAGTGACTAAAAAATGTTATTTGTTGGCTACAGGAACCGGCATTTAGCCGGAAAAGGAGTTTCTGGAACAAACTTAAGAAGAGAGGTAGAGTTTGTGTTTGGATTTTACTTGCCAGAGTTTTCTGGTTTCTTTTCCTTGTATAAAACTTGCCGAAGATTCCACTTATATAATTCGTACTACATTTGATGTTGTAGTCTCATTTTAGCAGGTTCAAACAAAGCCAGAGACGCACCAACTGCTGAATTGATGGTGTAAGAAACATGGTACATAAAGGGACCAATGAGTATATCATCTTTTAAGAATTCATTTTTGTTTTTGGCATTGAATTCTCATCTACCATGGGTTACAGTGGTATGTATTGAAGCCTCCAACTGTTACCTTGGAATGTAAATTGCAGTGTGACAAGGTTATAGGAACCCACATCCAACTCTTTACCATTTTTGTATGGGTGCTATACTTTTCAATTTGATCAGGTTATGGTTGTATTTGATGTAGGAACTCATGTCATGGACAGGTGGGTTTTTAACTCGAACCCTCTTATTTTTTTTTTCTTTTTCCTCTTTTCTTGTATCATGCATTAATATAATTCTAGAAAAATGAAGTTTGATGCTATATATTTTTTTACTTAAATATTAATGAACTTTAAAAGGCACGTAATGTAATGTAGACCATGATTTCAGGTTATAAAAATGGATATAAAGGCTATTGACCAAGTATTTCTGGGTGTTTAAAAAAATCCATTTTTAGGAATAAAAAATCATGAACTGAAAAGTTGACAAATTCATATCCCGTAAAGTTAAGGATAAGCTACATGTTTAATATTTCAATTATCTTTTTTTTTATTTTATTTTGGTCATTTAACTATTTTTTGTTTCATAATCATATATAATATTACGTTTTGATCACTCACCATTAAAAAATTAATGGTGATACTGATGTGTCATCATAAGATAATGTCATATCATCATTAAAAAAATTAAAAATTGATATGTTAGCAGTTCTATTACTTTTTTAATGACGGATGATCAAGATGAAACTAAAACGTAAGGTTAGGTATAGTTTTGAAACAAAAAATAGTTAGGTGACTAAAATGGAACAAAAATGATAGTTGAAGTACTGAACTTGTAGTTTACCCTAAATGTAAAGCTCGTACAACAGCAAGCAAACGACAGTACAATTCTGACTTCTTGCCATTACGAATATGTCGCCCAGTCTTCATAGTTTATAATAAATTCATTTAAATATTAAAGTCAAATCCAGAAGTAATCAACTAAGTTACATATCTATTTAAATAAAATACATAGTCTCTTGAGGCCTTGCAATTGAAAAAATGGCTTCTACAGTTAAAACAGCCATCTTTGCTGCATGTTTGGGCTTGTTGGTAAGGGTGTAAAAGGCTGATCCGACCTGTAAAATTGATTAAACCGATTTAAGTTAAAATTGTTTTTGACCTGTGCTGTGCTGATCCGAAATCGACTCGAGTCGGAACTGGTGTTGACCTGAACCCGAGTTAGATCTGGAAATTGTGGATCTAAACCCGATCTGCATCATACCTGAGAATGACCTGAACCCGAATTGAACCAAAAATATGATACCCGTACCCGAACTATATCCGACTTATATGAACCCAAACCCGAGATTAACCTGGTAAATAACTGGTATTACCCGACCTGTTTTCAACATGACCTGTTATGAACCTGACATGTAATTGACTCAACCTGTAAATGATCTGACATATTGTTAAAGTGATATGATATTATCATGACTTATAAGTAAAGTTACAATTAATATAATTATGTTATTTTAAATTTATAATAAACTTATGATAATTAAATTAATATGATTACTTTTTGAAATTTAGTTTTTATATTAATTATAATTTGTATATTATAAATTTGGTTTTTATGTTAATTCTAATTCATAATATTCTTTATATTTCTTATATTATAAATTTTATTTATAATCACTAAATTAAATTTAAATATTATCTTATTGAAGTTGATTTTATTAAATTATATTAATTGAGTTAAAATATTCAAAAATCTAATTTTCTTTTAATGTGAAAATTGATTAATATTTTAAGTAAACTTAACTTAAAATTTTAAAATCAAAATATATTAGTTGAAATGGACTTATTAAAGATTAAAAATTTGAATAACATTACAAATACTAAAAAAAAATTATAAATGAAGGTAATTTTATTACACTTAAAAACACTAAAATTACAATAAAATAAACTAAACAAAATAAATTTATGTTGAAATAAATACTCTCAGATCTTATAGCTAATGCTTACAAGGCTAAAAAACCTAACTATACTACCAGAAAGATCATCATCAAGCTTTTATACTTGAATGATGCCAATATGTTTAATTATGGGCAACTTTATAGTTTTAAAAGCTAAAATGCCACCAACATAATTCCACATGAGTAACTATTTAGATAAGAATTTATAATGTTCAAAAATTAATTTAAGTCAAACAAACAACAATAATTTACAAGGCATCAGTGAATAATAGACAACAACAACCGGCAAGTATCAATGTACCAATTCAACAAGCTTCGTTACATCGATTCAGCAAGCATCCTGCATTAAGAAAGCATACAATCAATGTGTGTTTGGTTGGGGGAATGTGAGATTCTCATAAGAATGAAATCCATATTCCTCCATTTGGTTGGCCGATAATATCATTCCCGGTAATCTTACATTACCAATAGTGGATTTTTTAGGGTATATTACCGAAAATGTCATTACCTCCCTTTCTTTAAGTATTGTTGGATTACTGACGTTTTAGATTAAAATGCCCTTAATTTTTTTCTTTAAAAATATCATTATTTTGTTATTGAATAATAAAAATTCTACGAATGTTAAATTATAAATTTATTCTTAAACTATTTTAGATTTACAAAAAAAAATTTATAATTAAAATTTTATATGAAGTTCAGAATTAAAATAAAATTTTACCCTTTCATTAAACCTTTTTATATTTTCTATTTTGTAAAAAATATTATATAAATTTTATGAATTTAAAATTTTTAAAGAAAATATATAAATATTTTCCAACTTGTTAAAAAAATATATATAATAAGGACAATTTGTTTAAATATACATTCTAATAATATTTTATTCCTTTAACCAAACACTGTAATCTTACATTTCTGTTAAACCAACCAAACACAAAATACAACATTCCCAGTAATTCTATTCTCTGATAATCTTTTATTCCCACAGGTAATCTTACATTCCGTGAAACAAGCACACCCTCAGTGATAAAGCCAAAGGAATTCGATGGCCAACAATGTCAAATATTTCCAACTTTATCAAACCCTTACAAATATAAAGTAGAAGCAAGCAATATCTGAATCTAATATATCTGAATCTCCCATTAGATGCAGGCAGAAAGTATGGCCGGAAACGGTGCATGGAATTTAATATATCTGAATCTGCAACAGAAAGATGATCAAGTTGAGAAGAAACTAAAAGAAAACAACGAAGTCCTTATGTTTTTATGTACCTCTGTGTGTGTTTGTGTGTGCGTGAGAGAGAGAGAGATACGAGGCCAGCATTTTAAATTGGACAATCAATGTTTAATTCACAAGACCAGAAGCAACCACACAAAATTGTGTTGAAAAACAAAAAGGGAAGTCTAATATTTTATCAATTCATACACATTTCAGAGACATGTGCAACGATGACTGCAGAAGATGATGGACAGAGCACCATTCTTCTTCAAGCTTTGGCAGCAATAATGTTGCAGGTTCCATTTCTTCAAACTCCAGCACTCGTTTCAAATGTTCAAGACGGTGCTTATCCTACAAAAAGAGGGAACACTTTGCGTTAGACAGCGTTTATCAGCAACAAATTGACCCAATTCATCTCTATAAATAAAACAATAATCAAAGTAAATCAGAAACACTTACTCTGCCATTTATGCAGCAGGAAATAAAACACTTTACGTTCTTATGACAACATGGAGTTCTAGACCAATAAATCCAAAAAAGGGTATACACAACTTTACAAAATTTTCATCTTTACAATAACATCTCAAATTAAAGGTAAGAAAAAGGTTAACCAGGACCGATCAACTAGATATGTCTATGCATTTCACCTTAACTTACCTTTCAGTCACTCAAACCTTCCAATTACTTTAGCGGTCAAAATACCGGTCAGTTTCAATCAATGAGCTACATATCTAAACCATTTCCGAGCACCAACAATCAAACAATAACAACAGTAGTAACAAAGTTTATTAATTGAACAACTAGACATACTATTTTAAAGATCTAATGATAAGGGGGAAAGAATAGAAAACTAAACCCAAATTTAACAAAGAGAATGAAATAATATTGGCATTGCTGCTTGGATTCGCCATCTAATCCTCTCTGGCAATTGCATAGAATCTAATTCGTTCTGCATCCACAGGAAAAGAAAGGAATCACTTCTGAGAGGCAAAATCAATTGAAGTCCATAAACCAACAAAAACATTTGGCCAAATTTGAGTGCCTATGACGATGCACATCTTTAGCATATGCAGCATGCACCCTTTATTTATATTTCTCATTAACACCTCATAACCTCGTTTCTGCACATTATTATGACAACTTTCTTTACCTCCAGAACTACCAAAAGCTCTAATAATTTATTATTTTTTTACCAAAACAAGCAGCAATAGATTCAACCAGCAAAATGATAAAGATCAAACCTGCAAGCCCTCCACCGACTCACGGTCAAGTCCAGAAAAATCCTTAGCATCCTTGGACTTTAGCCAACTTGGTCTGCAACTGCTCAGCAACCCATGTAGAACCAACAATAAGCGATCAAAAAGACTATCTCCAGACATTTCTGAGGATACAACAGATGGCATCAGTACCACATCCTCGTGTACAACCCTACTTCCAAGCAATCGAAGTATTACAGAGTCAAGCATGTTTCGTGCTGATGGTTCCCTGAATAATCCAACAAAAGAATCTCGGTAACTAGTTTATCACATTATTGAAATAATAAAATTAAAGATTCCGTGACATTGTTGCACCTGGACTACCAAATACCATTTATATCAATTAAGATGAAAAAATCCATTACCAGAGGATGGCTAAAAGTAAATGAATCCCCCAAAAAATATCATAAACAAAGCAAAAAAATCCCTATCAAGTTTCAAAAGACTTTCAATTTAAGAATTTTATGAACTATAGATTAAAAAAATCAAGTGGTTAAAACTGACAAATCACTGAAATAAAAGGTTTTTACCCTAAAAACAATGGCTTGCAATTACAAAGTAATACAAAAATGAGTCAGTATTATGGATAGATAACACACAGAATGAAAGCTAATTTCTGAGATTCCTTTCAACAGAATAAATGGAACTAGAAAGGCTTCAGAGGTAAGATAAAAACAATTAACAATGGGGACTTCGTAAGAAAATAAGAAGGAAACTAGTACCTATTCATTTCCAGCAGAAATATGCATGTACTAATAGAAAATCAAAACAAGACACTAAACAAACAAATTTACAGAAACCCATGAAATCTTTTCATAGCAACAAGAAAAGCTGCTTAGTAAATTCGAAAACAAAAAAAATGTCTAACAAAGCAGTAAGGATAGAAACTGATCATGTTTATTTAAAGTGGAATAAATGAAACAAGGGGAAAAATATATCATATTTACCCATCTGCACATATTATTGGCAACAATCTCAATGACATAGAGGCTTGCAAAGCTGCTGGGGAAGGAGGTGAAGACTCCACAGGTGCCTGTGTTCGCCTAGCCAATCCAGGACTACCACCTCTTGTACCTTTGCGATTATTAATTTTATTAGTAGAACCTTCAATTCCAGAAACAACAATGAAAGAGGGAAAACGAGAGAAAAGGGAGAGATTTTGGATGCTCAGCGGGGAAGAAGAGAGAACGAAAATAAAGGAGGGAGGGTTTGGCAGGGAGGGGCGGGAGAAAATGGTTACTTTTGGTGCCTGTTTTTAATTTCATCCCTATTAAATTTATATTAATAAACTATTTATAATTAATATTAATATTAACTTATATTAATATAATATAGTTTATAATTTGTAATTAATATTAATATAAAATATAGTCTATAAAATTAATATTAATATACACTATTGTTATAAATTATATAGTATAATTTATAAACTATAATTAATATAATTAATATTAATATAGTATAGTTTATAAACTATATACTATATTAATATAAATTATAGTTAAGATAATTAACATTAATATAAACTATATAATACATTAATATAAACTATAGTTTATAAATTATATACTATAGGTTATAAGGTATAAACTATATAGTACACTAATATAAACTATTGTTTATAAACTATAGGTTACATATATAGTTTATATAACATATAAATAGATTGTATATATACATATACTATAGGTTATATATATATAGTTTATATATACTATACATAGTTTATACATACATATACTATAAGTTACATATATAGTTTACATATACTATACATAGTTTATACATACATATACTATAAGTTACATATATAGTTTACATATATATATATATATATACTATAGGTTACATATATTAACTATTGTTTATGCATAGTATTTAGGGTTTATAGTTTATAGTTTAGGAGTTAGGGTTTAGGATTTAGAGTTTAGGAGTTAAGGTTTAGGGTTTTTATAAATTATATACTTTATTACTTTACATAGTTTATGCATATAGATTACTTATATTAGTTATACATACATATATATACTATATTAATATAAATTATAATTTATAAACTATATATTTTATATAGTTTATACATATATATATATATATTAATATAAATTATAGTTTATAAAACTATATATATATATTTTTTATAGTTTATACATATATATATATATATAGTTTATATACATAGTTTATATATATAGTTCATATAAACATAATTTATATATATAGCTTATAATAATTATATAGTTTATAATATAAATATAGTTTATATATAAACTTATATTATATATATATATATAAATTATATTTTTTCAATTTTTTAAATGAATATAATTTACTATATTTTTCATTATTTCTTCACATTTTGCATTTATTTCGATTTCATCCTTTTGTGTTGTTTAATTTATTTTAATTTTAATTTGTAGTTTCATATTTGTTCAATTTAGTCCTTAAAATTATATTTGCATATGAAATTGACCCATACTTATTACTTATTTCTATTTTAATTGGCCCATAACTTTTTAAATGGGTATAATTTAGTACTTTTTTGTATTAATTTAAACCTCACACTTTAAAATTATTTCGATTTGATCCCTCATCAATGTGTATTGTTTAATTTATTTAAATTTTAATTTGTAATTTCATATTTGTTCAATTTAATCCTTAAAAATATATTTGCAGCTGAAATTGACAAATACTTATTACTTATTTATATTTTTTAATTGGCCCACAGCTTTTTAAGTGGGTATAATTTAGTACTTTTTGTATTAATTTCAACCTTACAATTTAAAATTATTTCGATTTGATCCCTTTGTGTTGTTTAATTTATTTAAATTTTTATTTGTAATTTCATATTTGTTTAATTTAGTCCTCCAAATTATATTTGCATCTGAAATTGACTCATACTTATTATTTATTTATATTCTTTAATTGACCCATAACTTTTTAAATGGGTATAATTTAGTACTTTTTTGTATTAATTTCAACCTCACAATTTAAAATTATTTTGATTTGATCATTCATCAATGTATGTTGTTTAATTTATTTAAATTTAATTTGTAATTTCATATTTGTTCAATTTAATTCTTAAATTTGTATTTTTCATAAAATTGAACCATGATTATATATTATTAGTAATTTACTCTAAATCATATACAATTACAAATTGCAATTCAACGTTCGTGAAAGACAAAAATAATTAATCCAAAAATAAAAATTAACCCGATTTGAACTCAATCAGTATCTGATAGAGATCCGACCTGAATTTAATTTGCCAATGATGTGACCCGATCTGAACGAGATACGCCTGAAGTCCATCCGAACCTGAATTAACCTGCTTTTTAACTGCTTCAGAACTGAACCGTTTTGACCTGAATTGACATCGATCCGAACTGAAAGTAATCCGACCTGAACCCGACTGTACCTGGTGTCAAATCAACCTGAAAATGACCCGACCTTATTTGACTTAGACCCGACCTGATCCGAGTCAAAGCATCAAATTTACCTGACTTGACCTGTATCCGATTTTACCCAACCTGACAGGATCCGACTGAAACCTGAACGATTACCCGATTTTACATCCCTACTTGCTGGTCATGGTTGTTTCCGCCCATGAGGGGCACGACCACACACCTGGCATGGCCATGTCGCCTGGCACAGACATGTCGCCGAAACCAGCAGCGAGTATGGGAAATTTCGTGGTTCCGACCACGGTGATGGGGGGATTCCTCGCTTTGGTTGTTGCAATTTTTGTTGCGGGGGAGAGAGAGCCTGATCGTCCTATAACACAATAATCTGATTGCCAGAATTTCCCTCGGGTTTCCTTCACCGATGTTTTGTCTGAATAATGTTGTTTGTATTTTGCTTCTCATTTTAGTTTCTCTTTTATTCCATTCGTCCGTGTCCTTCGTATGCTTAATTTATGAAGATTTCCATGTGTCGAATATTTTCTTTTAGGAGTTAAATGACACGAATAAAAATTTAAGACATGAAAGAGATGATAATAAAGTTAACTGAATTTGTGATGTGATGATAAAAGATATCACTTTATTCGTTGTTAATATCAAATTTTGAGTTTCATCTCAAATAATCTCTTCTTTCTCTCCTTCACGAACAAATTGACTTTCAATACTTTTTGAACTAGAGAGAAAAATTAGCACCAGTTAGGGATGCCAATACGAGGAGTTGGGCGGGAAGTGTCTTCTACCTCCTCGGTCCGGACCCTGACCAGTGCATACTGTTTATCAAAGGGGTATCTTACAAGAACACTTGTTGAGAATACAACGGAAAAATTACAAATACAACCCAAGAGAAGGGGGGGAAAAGAAAGAATTTTACAATAACAATGAGTTGTTGTCATCCTTGACACGGTGGTTAAATTATATCTTAACCATATTTTCACATCATGATCAACAACATACGGTGCAGTGTGGTGCTCACCTGCACAAATGTTGAACCGATGCAATAAATTATGGACTGATTTGTAATTTGTTCGGCCCCAAAGTTGCAGACTTCTTTAACCTGATACAACAATTGGTATGGTTTAATCAAATCATAACTTTCCGTCCAAAAAGGGGAGGCAAGATTTTTGCAGAAAACAAAATTCCATATTTTACCTGTTCAGCATGGCTGCTTTCTCTTGTCAATTTTTTGGTGGATGTTATACCATTTCTTCTTTGTTCTATCCCTCGTAGAATGTTTCCTTTCTCTCACTTCACCATCTTCTTTGGCCTCCTTGGAGGCACCCTTACTCCTGCTCCTACTCGAACTTCTCTTACTTGGAGGAACAGTTGTGTAGGAGGCATGAATCTCGTTCCTTTGTTTGAGAAGCCCATCAATCTGCAAAACCAACATATAGGATTTGCTCGAGAAATTTATCCATTGACCTATAAATTTCAGTTCTCATGGAGCTTAGAATCATAACTCCCACAAGTTAATCTCACCTCTTGCATTTCCTTTGTGTATCTGCTTGTCATCTCGGTAAAATGTGCCAGGACCTGTAGCACTCTACATGAATATCAACAAATACAAAGTTCATTACCGGCATACACAATGGATTTCAGAAAGTACATACCTCTCTGTATTCAGTTTCAAACTTTGACAATTCCACTCGTTTGGACAGAATCTCAGCTTCCACGGCTCTAAGGTTCTCCTTTTCCTCTACGAAAGGGGCAGTACAGATAGCTTCTATAGTGTAGCTTACACTTCTGAAAAAGTTGTCACCTAGGAAAAAGGGTTTGAGAATATTAAAAAGGTGGTGAGTTTCATCCATGCATGTAAACCAACAAACAGAAGAGATTTGAGGGGCAGAGAAATAAAGGAGCGAACCATAAACAGCGAAAAAATGTGTGCCCGGTTTTAATTCAGTTACTTCACATGGTTGAAATCCATCCAGCTTTTTGAAAAAAGCTGCGTCTGGATCCTTTGAGGCAGCAACCTGCAGTGAATCATTTTTGAAATTGAAACCGCATAAAGGATGACAAGATTAAATTTCAGCTTGAAGCTCAAATGTCATATTTAGATAAAGTCACTCACTGAGTTGACTGTTTGATCCAAGCGATAGACGGGGAAGCCAAGAAAATACATTCCAGCAGATGTAACTTTTCCTGTTTTTGCACTGTCCTCCTACACCAAAAAGAAACAAATATTTTCAACACAGTCAAGTAACATACCCGAGAACTTGAGTCTTAAAACAAATGCACTAATAAGGCTTCATTTAGAAGAAAAAAAGGAAAGGATTTTCTTATCAGAAGCCGCATAACTGGTCAAGATGAAGCCATGTCCTAGACAAACCGAGTATGTTGACATTTTGCATCCAACAGTGATAAGAAAGAAAAAGAAGGCAAGAGCAAAAGAACAGACACTTGAAGTGAGAAAAAGACAGGATAGGATTGCAAGTTTCTGAAGATAAATATGGTATGACAATCTGTTACATACAGTGGCCAAAACCCAAGAAAAAAGTTCTACCCAATTATACTCATGCCTCAACAATATTCTGAAAGGGAATAGGTGGCTAAAAGGCCTAAAGTTCTATTAGTTGTGAGCTTGCTTTGCGCCAATCTGCTCTCTGTAAACATGTCCTATTAATTATCAACTGTTGTTGTCTAGAGATGCTTTTTCTTTACTCAATATTGTCAAGGGAGAAAACTTAAATTGTTCTACAATAAATGATACATAGCAGTTTATGAATCTGAAAATCTACATGTTACACATAAACAGAACGGAAGAACTTTTACTTTGGAGAGTATAAGACTTGATGATAGTTTATCAGAAGAAACTTCTATGCAGCCCAAACAGTGCACAATTTAAAAACTTTAAAATGTGAAAGGGGAAGGAAGGACCTCATTACCTTCAGTGCAAGGCTTAATCCACCATTCTCTTCTAGATAAAAATACAATATCTACATAAAACCAATCAATTAAACAATGTGTAATTATTGACTCACAGAAAAGGATAAAAATATCATACTTCATTTTTTCGTGCCTCCTGGTAATCCAGACAACTATCAGTAATGTTTATATAGTATTTTTTTTTTCAAATCTTTTGAAAGAACAAGCCCAATATGATTGTCCATTGGATCTCAAGAGTATCTCTTAGCAATTCATGCAACAAAAGTTCAAAAGAAAAAAATGATACAAGGATCCTGAATGCATAAATTATTTTAATACAAGGGTCAATAGAATTCAAGTCAAACAATACCAGATCTAATTCAAACTAAACTGAAGCAATGACAGTTATAAATCAATATCAACAGTAAAACTACACAAAAGCTTTACCCTTGCCCTCAAACTAAAACTATCTACACATGTCTCAGTATCACAAACAAAGTTGCATACATCTATTCCTTGGTAACTAACAAAAGACCGTCAAATGTCAATTGACCATAAAAGAGATTAAAACCATCTCTAATATCAATCCTCACCGACTTAGAGTAAGGGCTTCAATTTTTCCCAATTCAATCAATTCTTATATCCTAAATCATCGAAGTACTCCCAGGGCATGGTTTTTTTCCTTTTTCTTTTATGGTGGGAGGACGGGGAACCTTTCTTACATCATTTGGCGTAAATATCTCACCATTTAAATTCCTTTACTCATAAAACATTGTGGTTACTTCTTATAAAAAAAAACATTGTGGTTACTTAATTCCTAATATTACACACGTATTGCAAAAGGCTCAAAATGGAAACAGTTCAAATTTTGTTCATTGGTATTGGTACAGAGAAAATGAAATCAATCTTAGTTTCTATCATTGTTAAAAAAAGAGGAAAAACTAGCTTGCATGTACAGATAATGTTGAATCAACCAGTTCCTAACTCATTTTATATCTACCTTGAACTTGCTTTTATCAGGTGATTGTACTCGGCAAACAAGCCCATCCCTTGCTTCCTCTTCTGTTATTTTGACAGAGTAGAAATGAGCACATTGTTTTTCAACCTGTTAAAGGTGGAGCAAGTTTTGGTTACTGAATTAAAAACAGTATAAAGAATTAGCAAAGAACAGAAATATAATCATCCCACCTTCCTAGAAACAGGTTGCCCCAGCAGAAGCGGCTCAATATTAACCACACCATTAAGTGCCTCCTCCAGAACAGTTGCAGATACAGTGGTCTTAATTGGCACACCAAGTTTACTATTTACAGGAATTAGTTAAACGTATACCTATAGAATAGCATTCACAATGGCACAAAAGAGTGGAAAATGTCAAATAATATAAAAGGACAATGAGTTACCTAAAAAGTGCAGCAAACATGGTGTTTACAGCCCCCAAACTTGAAAGATCTAGCTCCAATTCTTGGTTATCTGCTTCAACAGCCTATTCAAATGAAAGAATATTGTAATCAACAAAATTCATGATTCATCAACAAAATCTAGTTTAGTGGTGCATGATGGTTTTAAGGAGTGGAAGCATGTAACGACTGAATTTTTTGCGGCCTCCCTATACAACCTGAAAGAGTGTAACAGTGAGAAAGTTGCAGTATACCCTTGTTCGAGACATATTCAAACATAGGTATTGGGTTATAGTCCTCCAAAAATATTAAGGAAAAAACTTCATTTTTAAAAAAATTGATCATACCTATGTCAGACAGATAAGTGTGACTTTCACCCTTTATTTGTACTTCAGAAATGAAGAATCTGTCTGACATAGGTATGATCAATTTTTTTAAGGTATTATCCTCCAAAAACATTCTTTATTAAGGTAACCATCAGAGTAAAAGTACTTCAGAAATTAACTGCATGCACGCATATCTTACCTCAAAACCAGCTATATCATACTGGCGCCTTTTATCTGGATCGGACAAGATATTGTAAGAAAATGTGACCTCCTTGAACATATCAGCTGCAACAGGATCATTTGCATTCTTATCAGGATGGTACCTGAAATAGCACAAGATTAGCATCTACCTACCCAACGAAACTGAATAAAGCTATAGTATAATAGGTACTTTATTTGTACAATAACAAAATACAAACAACATGCAAATAAAGAATGAGTCCAACTATCTCAGAAGTAGTCAAAGCCCCAAACTGCATGTCCCCAATCAGATTTTTCATTTCTAACAACTGTTCGCCTGAAAGAAACCATTGAGGCAAGTAATCAATTCTTTCGATTCATGTTGGAAATAAGCTCCTTCCAAGGTGCTAGGTTATCTTCGTCCTCAGAATA